ACAATGTGTTAGCAGGAAAACAGTGCACCTAACATCAGGAGTCTGTGAAAACTTGAAAGAGCTCTAGACAGAAATATTTTGCATTTGACTCTGGACTGTAGCCTTTGAGGCCAAACTCAGCCTTCAGTGTTAAGTGGCTGCTAAGTATTTCCCTTCTTGTCTCAATGCTAACTAACTGCTGGGAGAAGGGTGCATATTCCAGGAGGGCTGGGGAGGGCGGGTATGATAAAGGGGAGACAGAAGAGCATCATCTTTTTCCTCAGTTCGGGAGCACAGCTTTGTGGCCAGGTACCTCAGTCCACAACCATGCAAGAGAAAAAAACTCGTGTTAAAATGTACAACTTTTCATTTACATGAGCCACTTTCACATGTTCCCTTCCAAAACAGATCCCATCACTGCTGAAATACAAAAAAACCCTTCAGGGTGGGCGAAGTCCTGCGGCCATTCCCCGCAGCACCCAGCGCCTGGGCCCAGGGATCCTGTTGGGAATTAGCGTGGAGCTGTTACCAACAGGCCCTCTCCAACTGACTGGTTTGTTTTGCCAAATGTGATTTTTGCTTTTTGAGAGCACAGGGAAGGTTTGGGGTGATACAATTTGGGGCTCAGCATGGGGTTTTCAGTCCTACAGAGGTCTGCGGGGCCCCAGGGTAGGAACGTCTGCATAGCAATGCACATTTAACATGCCTGAAAACACCAGACAATTTTTTTTCCAGGAAAAAGCAATCAAACCAAACTGTGAAAAGGGGGGAAAAAGGTGCCGCTTCCCACCATCAGAAGAAAATGCTGTGTTACATGAACTGCCATAAGGAACAGGGTAGGAACTGTTCCTTATGCTACCACATGATAGGAAATTATATGTATTACTTCTTCAGAGGATCTCAAAACACTTTGCAGGCTTTTACCATTCCTGTAACCACCCACAGACTTGCTCATAAAGCTGCCCAAATTCAGGCTGTGCCCATGCTGCCAGAGCTCAGCCGCTCCGTCCTGACCCACCCTGCTCTGTTCACTCAGTCCTGTCAGAGGAGCTGCACTTGTATTTCCTTTTTTTCTGTAGGAGATGTCAGTCACTTAACAAGGACAAGGAGTCACATGCTTCGAGGCTGGCACAGTCATAGGAGCAATAGTTTCATCAGGCTTTTTCTCAGGAAAAACACAGCTTTTCCCCATGGCCCTGTGTGAATAATCAGGCCCCGTTTGCTCCACAGCGAGCTGAGCCTGTATTTAAGGGGCGGGTTCCTGGATTCTGAAACTGTCTGGAGAGTTTGAGGCCACATCATGTTTTTAATTAAGTATCAAAATAAGTATCTATCACTGTAGGGTTATCTATTTATTTTATTTTGGGTCCTGTTAATGGCACACTGTATTTCCACATTTTCAGTATTCATCCCGTGCAGATGGCAGAGTATCCTACATAAAGAGCTGCCAAGATGCTCTGGGACTGTGGCCTGTGTGTGCCAGGTGGGAGTCTGCTAAATGAGTCACATTTAAATGGCAGTAAGGCTATCTTCATGTTTCAGCGGAGAGTTATCTCTTAAACGCAGTTTACACTTCCCCATGTTACTTTTTCTCACTTGTGAAAACTCAGGCAGACAGCACTTCTTCTCTTAAGCCCAGTTTTATTAAAGCTGGTATGATAACGCTTCCGCACAACTGTGTGCACAGAGGGAAGCCCGCAGGGGTTGGATGGCTGGCTACGGCTCCCCAGTCCTGACACACATGAGCAATAATCCAAGACGGGTTCTTTCAGAAGATTTTCTGTTGCCGTTCGGCAGTCTCCCGGGTAGTGACTTCACGCCTCGCCCTTGAGCTTGCTCTGGGGGCAGAATGCTGTCCTGGGCGGAGGTGGTGCATCCTCTGCACCGCTGGCCGCCCCACATGCTGGTAGCCAAAGCCTCCCGGTAGCCACGACAGGCTGGCAGCTCTCCCGCAGTGTGAGCCCCGGGCACCAGCCAGGGCTGGCGAGAGCATCGCTCCCTCTCGGGGAGCTCCGGGTCAGGAGGTAGGAACGGGCCGGGGCGGGGGGGGACAGGCCGGGTCCCTGCAGGGTCCTCTGGGCTGTTAAGGGTTAAAGCTTCACTTAAGGCGGAGAAGTGCCAGAAAACATTTGCCTTACTACAAAACCCAGAGGGGAATGTTTCTTTCTAATCATCTCCTCAAAGAGATGCAAAGCAAAAGCTCTTGACCTCTGCTTTTGTCCTGGCACCTGCCCTCCCTGCTGCACTGCCCTACCTCCTGTCCTGCCGCGTAGCAGGAGAGCCTACTGTTAGAGCCAGGCACGGCGGGATGCGTACCTGCGGCTGTAACGGAGCTCGGGCAGAGCCTGTGCCACTGATTTACACGTCACATCCACTCTCTCCCATCCCCTTCCACGCCCCCAGCCGGCAGTTTGCCAGCGAGCTGTTGGACACAAGCACGCTGGCTTCTGGCTGCCCAGCAAACTGCCCGCGGGCGCTGCATGGACAGACAGGCGGGGGGTGATGTGCTAAATTCCCCGTTGGTAGTGATGGATTTCCTGGGGGTTGCTCCTGTTAGCCTCCCTTTCCAGCAACAGTAACAAATTCACTTTTTCTTTCTTTTTTTCTTTTTTTTTTTTTTTTTTTAACTTGTAAAACATTTCCAGCGCAACTAGAATGGCTGGGAGAAAGCTAGTTGTTAACTAGTCATGGGTAATTAATGACTCCGCCTTCTCCATCAATCAGCTGGAAACAGCCAAAAGGATTTGAGTGCTTGTAGCAAATGTGTGTTCTCTAGACATGCTGATAGCGGTGTGCAAATGAAGTGGCAGCAGGAGACCATCTCATACCCTTTCCTGGAAGAAGCAGTAAGTCATGATACACATCCCACGCTCTTGTCAGGTGAAGAGTCTGAAACTCCCAGTGCTGCTGCTGCTGTTGTGCAGTTTCTGTGTGGGATGTTGATCCATCTTTCAGCTAGCTTGAATCTGACCCAATTTTTGTTCTATTTTTCCTTTTCAGATTCTGATTATGGTTGTCTTTTCTGCTTTCTACAATTAAAACGCTAGCATTAGAAATGCAGGACATGGTGGGGAGGCAGATTTGATGCTGGCTTTCCTTTTGTAGCAGAGCAGAAAAGCATTTCAGCATCCTGTTTTGTTTGTATCTGGTAGTGGCTGTGCAAGTACAAGCAGAGGAGATTTGACCTTGATACCATTTTCAGCTGATCTTTTCTGATTTATTTTTCCACATATGTAATAAATAATCTCCAGTTGAGCTACAGATTGATGTTTCTCCACCACATTGATAGTCTGCTCCTCCGTGGTAGTGCAGCTCCCCATCTCTGTGTCCCTAAATTAGCTGTAGAAGCTGTGGTCTTCCATGTTACACAGTAGTTTTAAAGGGATGTCAGGAAGGCTGGATGTGGTCCCTCAGAAGTGCCAGGAGCCAGTGGACCATCTCCTGCTATAAAATCCTCCTCAGGACGTTTCAAACTCTCCAACCCATTTCTTCTAAACGTTATTCCTTGCCACACTATGCATTGGCTTTTCTCTCCCTGCCTAGTACTGGGATGCCTAAAATTCAATATACTGTTGAAAGAGAGTCAGTCCCTCCTCTGATTAAACTCCTTCGTCCTCACATGTCCTTGCATTGCTTGCTCCAAAAGGCAGTAAAAGCAGAACTGAAGAGATGCTGTTCAGGTATAGGAACTGACTGAATAAATTCAGAGTTTTGCATGTCAGACTGAAAATCAGATGTCCCAGTAACATCACTGACAAAAAAATGTACATTTTATTGGGAGCAAAACTAGACCATGAATCAGATGCACCCTTATAACAAGCTCCGAAATGAACAGAGCTCTTAAGTTTTCTGCGCAGATCTAGCACTGGCCCGTTGAAACGGATATCCTGCATTTGACCTCCACTTTTTGAGTATCTTCGACCTGTAAATGTTAGTATAGCCATTTCATGGAAGTCCCTTCTTCACCGAGGTGTAGTGGCTTTTTTGTGCCTTGAAGCATGAGACTTGATCATTGTCTCTTCGCACTTGTAAGCACTTACAAGCACAAAAGCTAATGGTCACACTTGCAGAATAAACTAATTAAGGGAAAATGCTCAAGTACATCAGTTTCTGCTCAGCCTTCCTTCAGTAAGAGCAATGCCTTGAACACGGCCTAAAACCAGTGCCTGATCCACCGTGAGACTCTTGGATGACTTCAACTACTCTGGAAGGTGCCGTTTGGTGCAAGGAGAATGGTATGTTAGCATGGCTGTATCATTACACAATTGCAACGTTCACTCGTGAAGCTCATCTGAAAAGATTCTGCATGTAGAGCAGCCTCAGTCCTGAGCTTCAGAACAGATGTGGTACAGCGGTGAGGACCCTGTCCTGGAAAAACAGCGCAGCAGGAAAACTAACTGCGGTTAAGGGCTGCAGACGTTGGGTAGGTAAGTAACTGTTGTACCATCAAATGTGTTTCTGTTAGCGGAGAAGACATCTGTTGGGGATTGAATGCATTGCTGCAGCATCCCAGTTGTGAGAGCAAACTTTACCACAGCCTGTTAATCGCCCACTTGGGAAAGAACAAGCTTGGTACAGTCCTGATTTCTGATAATCAGAAATCAAGAGTAAAATGATTCTATGCTCTGGAGATTAAAATTATATCAAATCTATGGAATAGCCAGAAGGAAATTTTTTGTGCTTGCAGTTTTAAGAATTTTTTAGTCTTATAGTTGAGTCTTCCAACTGATGTTTTTGCGTTTGTGTCTATTTGTTTAAAAGTGCATTAGCAGTAAATCAAGGTGCATTTCCCCTGTAGGGTTTCCTGTATGTCAAAGCCATGTTAATTCTCTTTGATTTTCTTCCCTTAGCCCCAGCCATTGCTGCAGATCCTTCCTCTCTTTGTCCCTTTGGACATCAAAGGATCACAAGGGGACAGCCCTGGTGAGAAGCTCCTCCCTGCTCATTAGCCTCCATAAAACAGGAACTCACCTTGGCTAGCTGTGCTTGGAGTCCCATCCTCATCCCCGTCACTCTTGACACTGGATCTCAGAAGGAAGGGCCTTTGCTTGCTTCAGGAAATCAGACCTGCTTTTGAACTGGACTATTTTGGCTCCCCTTGTAAGAACTCTGGTGGCTCTCTCAGCCCTGCAGGCTCCTAGACTCCACAGTACATGGAAAAATGCAAGCTTTACCAGGTAAGTAAAGGACTCCCTCCTTTTCCCTATTTCGCAGAAAGATCCTAGACTTATGCCAAGAGCATGCAATCCTTTTAGAAAGAGAACAAGTGCTCCTGAGGGGTTACCAGCATTTATAGTGGTGCATGTGTGGCTGGAGAGGATTTCTAAATTATTTTTTTTGTAGGAATAGAAGAGAAATTGTGGGTTTGAGTGTTCTTTGTGAGCCTTGGAAGATCTTTGTAAGGTAGCAAAGGCTACTCACAATTGTGCCCAAGACTCCCTTATCTGTATCACCTTGGACAGTGTGATTGTTCACTGAAGGCTAGAGGTATTATTTGTATATTGTCTGCAAAGTACACTGAGTTCCCTTCAGGTTGAAGGTCACAGAAGGTTTGAAAATATTTATTACATTGCTAATAATAGTTCTGATATAAACTATCTCTTTTCGTTTGTTTTTTCTCTGCCCTTTGAAAGTGTAAACCCCAAGCAGGCATACCACACCTTTACCAGGGTCCTGCTCAAACACAGAATTTTTGTGATTTCCTTAGGGTTTTGTTTATGTTTTTCTTCATCAGTCTGTCTCAAAACATGAGGTTAACCTCTTCTGCGTGGGGTGTGATCAGGCTGGGCACAATGACAGATACGCATTGGGAAACTAAGGGCCAGTCCAGAGGCCCTGCATTTGTCAGTATAACTAAAACCCAAAGTTGGTCTTGGGTTTTACTCTACGGCAGAAAGAAACAACCACTTACCTAGTTTAGGTGTGTGGTTCCGATGTACACGTTGGAGGTGGCTGGGTATTCTCAGCTTCCTTTCTCTACCTCTGCAAGGTGTTATTTCATTATAAACAAAATACATGTGCAATGACTCAGATAATTTCCACCTTCACTCTTGTTTTGGGTTTTTATAGAGCAGTCCATATTGTGTTGATCTGATTCATACTGATTTCTGCCACTCCAAGAGAATTTTGAGTCGAAAAGCAAAAGAGCAACAATAAAAAAATATAGACTGTGTTATGTATGGTATTTTATCAAGTTAAAGATTCCAACTGTTGCAGAAGTCACCTCATTTTCTTACTGAGTTGTTTCTGGTGTATGACCCCACACAGCAGAGCTGTTAAATATTCTGGGTGACGGCTGGGTGCATTTGAGAGGTAAAGCCATTGCATTTGTAGCAACACTGTGCTTCTGTTATTGCAAAAGAGCTTTTTGGTTCTGCTAAATGAGGTTCCCTCCAGAGTATCGTGGTGTTTCAACTGACATTTACAAGATCAGAGAACATGGGGTTTTTTTTTGGTTGTTGGCAAGATTAATTTCTCAGGTAGCTTTATATATTCACATGCATTTCTTCCCTGTGGACAGTGGATGGCTGTTGGTTGTTGGTCTTCTTCACTCAGAGTAACTGATATTAGTGAAGGTAAGAAGCATACCTTTGGCCTTGCTGGAGTTTTCCTGGTATTGCAAACTCTAACCCAAACATTTTGGGAAGCCTGCAACGAATTTTCTGACATCATAACATTGTCTCAGTAACTGACAATTAATTGAGGGACTACTTTAGGTGAGGGGGTTATACTCCAGCATCTTCTATCCAGAGATCTTATCCGCCCTGCAAGCATTACTGAATTGACTCTCATTTCTCTTTGCTTCCCTTCCATCTCCAAGATAGGAAAAAAGGTATGTACAGCCTATTCTGTGTACACAAACTGAAGGACAGACCACTCATATTTGTATAAGGACTTTAAAATCAAACATGGAATAGTTTGAAGATCTCCTAATTTTCCGTGCCTTTATCATAGCAGCTATCTTCCTTTTCAACTTCATCTTGGCATAAAGAATATGTTTTAAAATGTGCCACATGCGGTGTTACCATGACAATGATAATAATAATATCTTTAAAATAGCTTAGAACTAAAATTCTTGCAAAATGCTTAAATATCTTTCAAATAATACTTAAAATAAAAACTAGGTTACAATAGAAGCGCAGCTTAACAAGTTCCATTGCGTGCTTGGACACCCTGCCCCGAACCCCTTTGTGCTGTAGTTCCAACATGCAGGCAGCCCTGTGGGGGAGAAGTGCGGGTGAGTCCTGGCATTAGTTACATCGGTACAAACTAGGAGTCAATCTGAAGTGTCTTGCAAGCCACAAGTGGCTCTGCAGAGAAAATCCAAAGTGGGTCCTTATGGACCCAGCACTGCAGAGTCCTGCTGAAGGCAGTTGCACACGACTGTGTAGTCAGCTTTGTGGATCCGTCAGCAGGCTCCTGCCACTGCTAGGGCCCAGGTCCCCGCGCAAACTGTTCGTGTCCTGTTTTTCAGACTGTGCACACAAAACCTGCAGGATGAAGGATGTTAACTACGTTTTTAAATCTTTGCCGCAGTGTTTACTGCGTGTGCAGCTCTTTCCCTGTCTCCTGTAGCATCTCACTCATACGGGTAGATTGTGGACTCATTTTGGTGAAAAACAGATTATAACATCTGCCTTTGATTTTTAATTCAGTATTAAACTCCATTCACTTCAGTTCCTCCTGATTTCATTGGAAGTCTCCCCTCAATAAGGACTCCTGAGATCTGCCTTGTAGTCTCATTTAATGGCAATGGAATTTGCTTACAAAAATGTTAATTGTAAAATTCATTTGGGGAAGGAGTGAGCATCTGTCTAGCTAATCAAAATCTGTTTGCATGGATTTGTGACTGGATGACTCCTGTGGGAAATCAGCCTGATTTTATTGTAACTCCTTTTGATACATGTGCTGCACTGAGCTACTGATGAATGCATCGTCTCATGGCAGCTTTCATGTCTCTGCAAGAGGATATGGGGGAAGCTTTAGTAAGAAGATGTTAACAGGCTAATCTTGGTGAGCAAACTAGGTGTCACTTCTTAGTCAGTTCATTAATGTTGGATCAAAGCAGAAAAAAGGGTAGAGGATATTTTTTTTTAAATGCCTAAACACCTTTACAAACTGACAAAATTACATTTAAATGTTTTTTGTTTCCTAATACTGTAGGAAGAATTCCCTTAGACTCACATGGGGCTGTTTTTGGAAAGATGGAACTTTGTGAAAAAAGCCAGTTTCTCTTGAAATAGGCTGTCTACTTTTCATGCTTATTCTTTTGAAGACATTACTCAGGAAAGCTGTAACAAGGTGAAAATCCCCTCATTTCTGATATGCTCTGAATGATATCAGATCAGGCTGAGAGACAGAAAAATCTCCCTTTTAAACAAATAGCTGTACGTGGCTGGTGCTGTGTCACCCAGCAGAAGTGGCCTGTTGGCACTGAACTGAGGACACACTGCTGTGAGTGCCCCTGCATCGAGCCGCCTTATCAATACCTGGGTCAGACTGCAGGCAGCGTTTGTAAAGCTTTACCAGGTGTGAGACCAGTCTACCAGTAGCTGTACCAGGTCACATTTTGACCTAAAATGAAACTGTGTGGTTTGTTGTTTTTTTTGTTTTTTTTTTTTCCTGGGGTTTTCAGTATGGCAGCAGCAATGTTGTGTGTGTTACAATAGAGTTAGGAGTGCCTATAGGAGGTTTTTAATCCAAACAGCTTTACAGAGATGCTGGGTACCATCAACACCAAAGACAGTTCCTCCAGAATAGTTTCCCTTTCCTCTTCCCCGTGACCATAGTTAGTCCTTTGCCTGTGCAGGCATATTGCAGGCAGCTCCTCTGATGTGCGATGGTGTGTTACTGAGGAGGCACCTTCCACTGCCGTCACAGGCTCCTCAGTGGTCTCCATCTCCAAGTCCAGTTCAGACCAGCTGTCCTCCTTTCAGAATGTTTCATGTCTGGCTCTGTCACCTTTGCATTTGGCTCTCCTGTCTGCCCTTTCTTTGTCCTCTGGAGAGATTTTTCACCTCTGCTACCACCTATCTGTCGTTTTCTCCCATTACCCTCTAGTACACTTAAAATCTTTCCAATCCTTGCAGCTTTCATTTTTTTTCTCTTGGTAAAGTATTTTGTGTAACCCTGATCATACCAGAACAGGAATGAAAATGGATTATGGCTACCTGCCACTATGAGTTTTGGAACAAAGGAAGTCAGGTTGAGTTTGCACAACACACAAATCTTTAATCTTATCAGCTGAAAACAAACTTGTTGGAAAAGCCTTTATGCCTTCTGAGCCTGCTAAGTAATCAAAAGCCTTGGAAGAAAAATAATGAGTTTTCTTTAAGAGGTTTATCGTGACACAGATTCTCCAGTTCTCGGCAGCACCTGGGACCTTCCTGGGTGAAATCCCAGCACTGGCTCCCTGGCTGAACCCGCGCAGAGCCCTGCACGGTGGGCTGGGGCTGAGCCGTGCCGTGGCCAGGCGGGAGAGTGGCAGCCAGGTGTGTGGATCCTGTGTTACAACGTGGGAAATTGGGTAGCTCCCTGTACTGGGGGAAGCTGGCGCTGGTGGGGGTACTGGGAGGGCCGGGGTGGGTGCTGCGTCTCAGGGCCCTGTCCCTGAGCAGGAGAGGCTGCTCCATGCCGGCTCCCCTCCTGCCTGTCTGGAGTTTCCCTCTTCTCTCTCCCGCTAGACGTGAAAGCGCCGTGTGAGGCACTTCCCTCCCCCAGCCTGGAGCCCCACCTGCAGAGCTCCATTGTGGTCACCCTTGAGGACATGGGTCTCTGGATGAAGTTTCATCAGATAGGAACTGAGATGATCATCACCAAATCCGGCAGGTGAGAGGGGAGCAGGACAGTTGCCACACGCCTCCAAGCTGTTGTCAAAATCTCCAAGTGTTCGGTTTTTGAATGGTGGCCCTTAACCTAGTTTTGTAGCCAGTTGTGTGCATTTCCCTGCCCTGGCAGAATTCCACTTTCAGGATATCGTAGAATGCCAAAGTGTGAAGTGTAAAAGGTCACTGTGGGGCTGACTTGCTGAGAAAACTTCTGTACTCTTATCTCACCACTTAACACTGATCTTCCTGTTGCTGGAGGTTGCTCTGGAAAGTGCCTTGGGCTTCCTTTGCCTTGGTCACAAGGCAGCAGCAGTTGAGCAGTAAATACCTGGTTTTGGGTGTGCATTTGCAGAAAAAAACATGGCATAGAATAGTAACGATCTGTGGTGCAGACTGCTCTGAAGTTTAAATGAGTCATGCATTGTGGAGCTTGCAGTGAAAGAATATGAAATTGTGAAATTGTAATGTATTGTGTCAAAGCTGCCGTGAGCTGAAATAATCCCTTTGGGTAGGGAGGTAGGTGTCAAAGCTTTTTTGCAGAGTCAGAAGATGAAAGTGGTGGCAGGGAGTACTGGAACAGAAAGCTGGATGTGCTCATAGATGAGAGCACATTTCCTACCCACACTAGAAAATGCTCTAATCTGTCTTCCAGGTCTGTGATTGCTGCAGAAGGCTAGGAACTATGTGCAAATTCCAAATATTTTCTTTTAAGTTTCCCACTGTTGTGTTATAGGAATCAGAACAAAAAAAGCAGTAACAATGTCAGTCCTTCAGTGGCTGCTGCCCGTTAGTACCTCTTCCACCTAAACCCGTAGGACTAGACAGTACGTCAGTAAGATAGAAAAATGTTCAATAGCTGGCCTATAGAAATATTGCCACCAGAACTTTGCACAATAGTGAGTAAACATGACATGCTGCTTTATCATGAGACAATATCCACTTTTTAGAGAAATTCTTATACTATATACTCGGTTTCTCCTTTAGACGAATGTTTCCACACTGCAAAATCAAAGTCTCTGGCTTAATCCCGTATGCCAAGTACCTCATGCTGGTAGATTTTGTGCCAATGGACAACTTCAGGTACAAGGTAGGCATTTTAAATTATAAAAGTTATACTGTCTTTCCATCTTTGTTTGAAATAGATCTATCTTTATGCTTCACTGGCCAGGCTGATAAATAAATTGTCTTTGGACAAAGTTCAGAAGTAATTGGTGGGTTTTATGCCTCTCTGGAGTTATTTGTCAGTTTTCCTTGGGGAGCAGCTGGAAAGGTAGCTAATTTTCATTGTAAGGGATACAGTTTTAATCATGATTAACGTCACACTTCTCTGACAGCCGTTGGGAGAAAGGGAGGAAAAATGGGGCCTAAACTTGGAACTATTTTGGTAACATGATCATGGCTCATAAGAGAAAATCTGCTACCTGTGCTTCAGAGGAGTCCACTAAATTGACACCAAAGCAAAGTTCCTGGGGCTTTCCTGTATTGAAAATAATGTGGGTTTTTTTTAAGCTCTAGATTTCTGTCTTTCTCTTCCCAGTGGAATAAAGATCAGTGGGAAGTTGCTGGAAAAGCAGAGCCCCAGCTCCCTTGTCGCACCTACATCCACCCAGATTCCCCAGCTCCTGGCAACCACTGGATGAAAGAATCTGTCTCCTTCCAAAAACTGAAGCTCACAAACAACACTCTGGATCAACACGGGCATGTAGGTTGTAGCTGGCCTTTGTGCTGCGCTCATTTGGAATTCATTGCCGATGGATGTTATGGGAAATAAGTAAGATTTGTGAGAAATTAGATCACGTGGAAATTAAAACATATCCAAGTGCCCTTTCTTCCTTCCTCAGCCCAGCCCTTGTGCCCTCTTAACTACCTGCTAGGCAAGGTGTTAGTCTGTACTGTCATGACAGATGTGTGGAGGAGATGCCAGTCCCAGGCAGGCATCCCTGGTTTGAAATGGATGTCCTGGAAGTCTCCACAGGAGACTTTGCACAGTGTGTTGGCTGTGATGGCACATGGAAACTTTCTCTTTTGTCTGTCTCTGTGCCAGATCATCCTCCACTCCATGCACCGTTACAAGCCTCGCTTCCACATTGTGCAGGCAGATGACCTCTTCAGTGCCCGCTGGAGCATCTTCCAAGTCTTCAGCTTCCCTGAGACTGTCTTCACTTCTGTTACTGCCTACCAGAATGAGCAGGTACAGTGTGCAAGTACTGCTTTTGGACACATTGCTGAATACTGGCCTTAGAAGCCTTGTAGAGGAAGGTGTCTCCTTCCACACTACTCACCCTGGGCACCTGTGATGGACAGTGGGAAGAAATAGGCACGTTATGGTTCCTATGGAAAACATCTACTCTGGGATGAGATGAATCATGCACCTTAATTGTATTAAGTGTGCTGCCAGTGATTAACAGAACCCTAAATATAGTGAAAAGTATGGGCAGAAGTCCAGATATAGATACTGACCCTGTATATTCCTCTAGTCAGATGAATCCCACCCAAATTCCTGTTGACCCTGGCAAAGCTTCTTCTCCCTGTATGTCAGTTCCTAATCAATAACAGGAACTGCTGGGAGAGTTCAGATACTGTGGCAAGGGCATGCCCAAAGCCCTCAACCAAGCTATTGTGATAAATACTGAGGTGAAGGTCTTTAAACAGTAAAGAACCCCACCAGTCACCATGATACTAAATCTTGTTCCTTTTAAGATTACAAAGCTCAAGATCGACAACAATCCATTTGCGAAAGGTTTCCGTGAGCATGGGAAGAATGCTCGAAGGTAAAATGTTCTTTCATCATTTATAACTGGAGTTCACTTGTGATTTTACCCAAAGCCATTGAGCAAAACTATACCAGCTAGCTCTGCAGAGCTTGCCACGTCGTGCACACTGCAGTTGCCTGTATCTGGGAACAACAATGTCCCCCTGTGCAGCCTCCTCCCAGGAGGCTTGGGGAGGGGGAGGAGATACAGGATTTCCTACAGAAATGTGAGATGTGACAAATTTGAGACCTGTATCTCTAACTTCCCTTGCAAGTTGGAGCTAGACTGGAGTCGGGCATGTGAATAGCAGTGATAACAGGAGTCCACAGTGGATCACTGTGTCTCTTTGAGATCAGCTTGATTCTAACATTTGAAGGGTCCCTCATTTCCTTTTGCTGTGCATGGAAAAGCGTCTCTTCCAACAGACTTTTGTCTGCAAGAGAGAAGATGAATACCAATACTAGCAAGATCTTCTGTCTGGTCTGAGGGCAGCCAGGATGAGATGAAAAAAAAAATCTTAAAAGCAGCCATAGATTGGCAGTAGAGAAGGAAAAAGTGTTTTTTTTTCCAAGCAGAAAATGTTATAAAAATATCTGAGATTTTGTTTTGTGTTATTTTATGCCTGAAAAAAAATCTCATTTCCTGATGAAAAAGGCCAGAACTGACTCTTTTTTACTTAAACTTTGAAAATGTCATGGATTTTCTTTCTCCTCCTAATAGGATAATTTCTGACTAAGCTTAGACTCATTTTCCATTTAGGAAAAAGCTCCTTTCAGGCAAAAGACCCACCCTACTGCACATGTACCTGTGTGCACAGTATGTACATCCAACATCGGACCACACTTACAAACTCAGTGCCAAAAGCTCTGCTGCTCAGTGTCCATGTTGGCTGTGCCTTTTGTACAAACATGGAGCAGGCAAGCCCTTTACCCGTTTATGCCCAGTACCCTGTGGCCGAGGGCTCTCGCTGGACGCGCACACTGACGCAGGTGAAATGGTGAGCTCTGAATGTGACTATGGCAAGCCTGCTCCCGAGGGCCTGGCAGGGTGCTTTGCTAGGGGGGTGTAAGTCACAGGATGTCAGAGAGGTTCATCCCATCCTTTTGTCTTCCAGGGCTTGTCCAGCATCCCTTGCATATTTATCTAGGCAAAAAACTTACATACAAGCAACCCCTGTGTCTTGTTTCTTTCCAGGGAAGGACGAGCCAAATGCCAGAAGCCTAGTCCAGACAAGGGCCAGAAGAGGAAGCTGCCAGAGGAAAAGGAGTCCGGTGCTGAGGAACGTGGTAATATTGATCACAACAAACCCAGAGAAAGATTTCCAAACAGTGCCCGGGCCACAGAAAGGAAAATGAACAGCAGCATAGCCTCCTCTCTGGGGAGAGTGGCCTGGGTGGAGTTCCTAAAGAGTGCTGTGTATGGTTTGAGTCTGGCTCTCTTTCTGGGAATGATCCACAGGAGATCGTTCATAAGTCGCTTGTCATTGGTGACTGCCCGTCAGCTCTCTCATCAGCCTCCCAGCCTGTCGGTGCTGTGTGACCACGTATGATCATAAGCTGTGCTTTCATAACGTTTCAGTGAGCTTGCAGTATCACCCATTGCTTTCTTCTTGGTTCTCATCAGTGCAGTTGTGCCAGCAGTGCTGTTTATGCAGCTGGTTTGTGATGCAGATGCAGGAAGTGATACCATTTAAAAAAAAAAAACAACTTTGCTCTTTCTATTACTTTGTTTTTTAAGCTTGGTCATTCCTTGCTCTGGTTCACAGTGCTGCTTCTAGTAGCACAAGGTAGTAGCACAGCTAAGGAGAGAGGACAGGGCAGGACCACAGTGTAAGGTCAGAAAAAACCTGAAAAGGGCTAGTCCCTTAAGACAGTATGACTGCAGAAGAGGTATTAGTGTGTTTCCTTCCACCATCCTGCAATGCAGCTGCCAGTAGACCTTTGTGAGCTCTGGCACTCTCTTCCCCCTTCTCATTTTTTTCCATTCTTTCTTTTCCCCGCTGTGAGTCAGATCTTGAGAAAGATGAGAATATAGATGTAAAGGAAGAGAGTAACCCTGTCGTGGTCAGTGGTGGATACCCCTTCTGGGTCTCGGAGCAGAATGGCAGCCATGCTTTTCCTGCAGCATCGCCGGTGCCAGCTGACCAGAGGGAGGGTCTGGCCAGAGAGCAGCAAGTGCCTACACCATCCTACCAGACATATCGGTGAGTCCCACCTCCTGGTGCTCATGTCCGAAGTCACCCTGTAATTGTTGGGATTCCTCTTCTTCTGCTGGGTATTTCCTAAGAAAAACAGCCTGTGGGAGTAAGAAAGAATGCTTCTCTGTTAGAGAGCATACCTGGGTGATAGGTGCTAGATTAGCATGGAGATAGCTCCACAACAAAGCCTTTCTGTGTTACTTCAAACCCACTGATTCTGGGCATACGCATCTCTTAGTAATGCTCTTTATTTCCCCGTCCTAAAATGCTCTCCCAGCCAGCTCTGTGTACTGCAGAGCTTGCCTGTCCTTTGGAGGAAGTGTGTTGGAGGAATGGCAAGACTCCAGTGTTTTTTCCCTCCTTATCACTGCAAATTCAGGCATTAGTTATAGTGAGCTCAGACTAGAACTGAGCCAGAACTAGGGTAGTCTGGGCTTACCTTCTCTGGCATTTAGTTTTTCTCTGTGAGTGACAGCAAGGCTTGGACTAAAATCCACACTAGCAGTAAGATGAAGCAATAGGCAAGGGAAGAGGGCATGCTAAGAGCTTGCCCTGGCTTTCCCCAGGGGATCTGTGTGGGTTTTCAGTGGTTTTCCGCTGCGGTAGGTTTGACTCTTCTCTCTGCCCTCGGGGCTCAGGTTCCACGAAGCTGGGGACAGCCAGCAGCTTCCCACCCGTGATGCCGCAACCTTGAATGATTTCCGGGCAAGGTGCCACCCTTTGGATCTCGCCACGGTGCCCGAGCATGACTCCAAACAGCTCCCAGAGGGCTTCACCAACCTGCCTCCACTCCCCCCGCCTCTGCCTCCTCCCCAGGACTACACAGGAGTGGTGAACATGGCTCTAGACTCTGTCGGGAAACCCGGGGCCCGAGCGCCCATGTACAGTCCCTACGGCACCGAGCAGGGCCTCGGCCAGTGGATGGTGCCTTCCCACAGCCAGTACAGGGCAATGAGCTACTCGGCCTTCTCCACGGAGTACAACACACAGGGGGCTCCAGGACATGCCCATGGGACCATGGCGGAGTGGAGCCAGTACCCTCTGTTCCCCTATGCCTGCTGGTGAACAACAGCTACGCTTCCCAGTGAAAAAACTGAAAGCAAATTGTAAATGAGATTGAATTTGCTCTGGGGTGTTGACCTTTTGAAGCCTTGCCTACAGCAGGCAAAGAGATACTGCTGCAAACAGTAGCATGGGACACCTTCACTTCCTTGTCTCCTTGCACAACAACCCTCACCATATTTCACCAGCAGTGGCTAAACTGGTGGCTGCCCTGGCCGTGTCAGTGTGGGTATGGCTGAATCAATGTGTTCTGCAGTGTTGTTTTTCCCAGCAGGAGTAGAAATCCACAGGAGCTGCGAGAGCAGTATTTAAAGAGCTGCCAAACTCTCAGTCCCAGACTGTTTGCATCTTGCATTTGGCAGTTTCTAGAATCCCTCCCAGGACTTCTGTGCAAGGAGATAGGGGCTGAGGAGTTTCAGTAAGCAATCCAGGTGGCCAAGAAGCTGTAGAGAATTATTGCAAAGACAAGCAGAGCAGGCAATCCCAGTGCCTCCTTGAGCAGTTTCCTCACTTAGTATAGTCAGACTGAAGCTAGAGTCTTGCCTTTCTTCCAGCAGCATGCAAGGGTAAAATACACAGCAACACGTGTGTGTCTGGAGCACAGCAGTGGGCCGTGCAGGCAGGGGCGTTTGTCCCATGCAGGAGAAGCAGCAGAGCTGTGTGTTGTATCTGCGTGTCCCCTGTGCCCATCCCGCTTCTGTCACCCCTAGATCCGAGGTTAGTGAAACACTCTTCTTTCGGCCGGTGGTGGAGGGAGGCTGTTCACAGAGTGTGGGGGGCTGCTCTGGGGGGTTTCCAAAGGCCTGTGGTTGTCAGAAACGGGGCCACGAACAGCAGTGCTGGCTGTGTCACTGCGGCCTCTTCCTTTCAAGGGAAAGGAAACCTATCACTGCAAACTGTCTCTTTTCTTCCACCCCTTGCCACCCCTGGAGAATATAATTTACAGTTGTGGTTACGTTGCTACACTCTGAGCGAGGGCTGTCCATAGCCAGTTCTCACCAGCCAGGCTTTGCTCCTCAGGCGTATACTTTAATGAATACCCTGTGGCACTGAGCTGTGTGCTGCACTGCTGGTGTGCTCGGCGCCTCCCAGCTGGTCAGCAAAGTCATCTTGCTGCTGTCTGGAAGCCTGTAAGGATCAGCTTCCATGTTTAGTTATCAAAGCAGTTTCACCTCCCTTACCTCTGTGGTCCCATTGTGGGGAGGAGCTGTTCTGCCAGTGAGCAGCCTACGCACTGCCTTGCAAAGTGGATTTCTTTTTATCTTCACTTTAGAAGGGGGAAGCATCCCTCTTTGCCCAGGTGGCAGAATGGCCCTGGCAATGGGGCCTTTTTTGAGACAGGCTCTTTGCTTCTCAGGGAGGATAGACATGCTCCTAGGTGTTATTTAGGGAATGTTTTCTTGTAACACTTTAAATAAACTGCCATGTGGCCTGTAGCCATCAATAAGCAGTGAGGTGTGTCATTGTGTCATTTAGTGTGTATGCCAGATGGTTTTCTCTGTGTGCAGATGTGTGTAGCAAGATGTTGCCTCTGAGCAGACCTGGGCGGGTGTGTGGCCCCCGGTGCATCAGGACCGGTGTGTGGGTACACCGGGAAAGGCACGGGTCTGTTCAGGTACCAGGTCGGCACCGTGCATGTATGTAGCGGAAAGGTGTTGAGCCATGTTTATTGCTGTTAAAATGACTTTGAAAAGTAGCCCTACAAATTTGTGAAACTCAACTACAATGAGTACTTCCTTATTTAAATCGTATATTGTTAACTGCTTTTGTACCACAGTTATGATGAGTACAGAGCCGCCAAGGACTTCCCCTCGGCTTCACAGGATGGGTGTGAGATGTGCAGAGTTTAAATAAAGGTCAGACTTCACCACAGTGTATGTACATAATATCCTATTAGCCTCTCCTCTGATAGCACCCTGGCCAGGAGCGATTTATACCTATTGTGCATGACATGCATATGGATACAAGTGACTCACTAAGAAGAAATCTGGTTGGGGGAAAATATGTGGAGGAGATTGTTTTTAACCCCAGAATATTATGATTTCCTGCTGTCCAAATGCCAGCTGCATGAAGGTAGTGTCAGCTCTAAAAGGCTGTCCTCTGCGGATGAGAAAAATACTCTGTTTCTGACCATTAGTAGGTGATTTTGCCACCACTGTCTTCCACATCTTGGAAATCAGATGAGGGGGCTGGCTAGGGAGTTCGGTGCCTTGAGCCCTGTGTGCAGGGACCCTGGGGGGGGTGGTACTTTCTGCCAGGCAGCCCTGGTACCCTGCCATGATCACTGCAAGTGCCATTGTAACAAGAAAAGAGACAGTAATACATCCCCTCCACAGGCTACTTGGTTAGATTTGTTAGATCTTTGAAGCTGGGTTGTATTTCCCTCTGTCGCAGGGTGCTAATGGAGATGAAAACCATGCTGTGGTGAGTATGAGTAACTGAGGAGAACTGGGCAGCACAGGGAGACTCCGTGCAAATAATATGGATGTGATGTTTTTTTCAAACCTTCAGAGTAGCATTGCAAGTGCTGCTGCCCCATGGGTCTGTCAGTAGAGCTGGTTTGGCAGGCAGCTCTGCACCGGGGTAAAAGACTCAGCCTTGTGCCTAGGACGAGCCATTAATTACTCATCAGCCTTCTGTTGCAACAGGACTTCTTGCCCTTCTTTGGTGAATCATTCAGCTTATTAGAAAAGCACCTTTACTTTCCTTGCTCGCCTGTCTCTGGTTAGAGACTGTGGCTTGGCTGGTTTGTGAAGCCTTTGGAAATTTTGCCCGTAGGTGTGCGCTCTGGACTGCTGCCGCCTCCTCCCTTTGCAGTTCCCACTGGCTTGTTTTCTTCAGCTGTGGCATTTAAAAGTCTGTATGAGCTCGACTGAAATACTGGTTTTGCACGCATGTGAGATAATGTAATGCCTCTCTGACAGCTTCAATAAAAGGAAATGAGACATGCGGAAGGCAGGCCATTAAGAGCAATAAAATAAACTCTAAAGTGTGGTTTTTGTGCATCTCTTTCAAGCACACCAGTGGCTCCACTTTAGTCATGTTACCTGGGGCCAGTTTGTACATGCATGACATGCTGTTGATCTCCGATCTCGGCGTTCATTGTTCTCTGCAGCATATTCAGCGAGCCCCAGGTTATCAGCGCGCGTTGCTGAATGTGACTCAGTCTCTTATACTAATTCTTTGCAACAAATTGTTTATTTTCTTTGTGTTTTCTGCTCTTCTCCTGCAGAGGAGTTACATAAGGATGAGGGCAAATGGGCTATAAATGGGATCTAGGTAAATTTCCTATGGGAAATAAAGATCCTGATTTATTTTGGTTTCTCCTACTGGTTTTTGCAGCCTTAAGCCTTGTCTGATACTGCTTCGGTGCAGATTGGAATGGCAGAAAAATGCTTTATTGCCAACACTGCAGTTCTTCGACAGAGCCGCATCCCGGTGAGCAGCTGCAGGCTGGGGAGAGGCACCTGTGCTTACCTGCAATGCAGCACCTCTCCCCACGCCTCTCAAAAGATACGGCAAGTCCTCCTCGGGGTGCATGGTCCCCTCTCGCCTGGCCCAGAGTGTGGCCTCTGCTTTTGTCCCCAGTTGGTCACAGCCTCTGGCTCAAGCAGGAGAAGCTACCAACTGGTTTCAGTAAGAGTTTATCTGATTTCCAGGCACTGGGGGAGAGAGATGTGCTCAGCTGGTGAAAACCAAACTCTCTGGTGCCACCCGATCGGCCTCCTTGGCCCGGCTGAGCCCGGAGGCAGAGCTGCTCGCCAGCACCTTCTGCGTTGGCAGCGAGTCCTGTCTGTGTGGTGTGGGGCAGGGTCCGCATGTCTCCGGGGGGGCTTTTACAGGGCCCAGGGAGGTTCCCTGCCTGCAGAGAGGCGTGAGGATAGCCTGGGAGTAGAACGTGTTTCTGTGCTGGAATCGGCTCATAGCTGGACAGCCAGGCTGAGCCCACTCGTTGCTTCCTTTGGGTTGGCCTGACTGCCCAGCGTGGGGATGTCTGTTGTTTGGTCCCCGTGAGCCTCCCAGGAGATTCCTGCAGTGCATTTCCTTGGTTAGCATATGTACTCGGTCACCTTAAGCAAATCCAAGCAAGCTACATAAACCCCCCTCCAGGAATAATAACATTCTTCAAGTCAAATGGGTTTTTATTGCAGAGCTGAAAAGCCACTTAATTCTCGAGCCCCAGGTTGGGATCCCATACGGAGCCTCCTAGCAGGGGGGACACAGCATTTGGCTGACAACAACAAACAGCAGCCGTCACCCGCCGTGCGGGGCTGGAGCGGCACAAAGCCAAATACCTCCTTACCGCCTGCCTGGGAGCTGCAGACAGCTGCCAGCCCCCCTGCCCCGCTCATCAGCGGCCAAATGTGCCGGGTGCAGGTGTCTTCACTTACCTGCTTCCCCGCCCTCAGCCTGGATTTACTTTGTAAATGGCCAAGAGCAAAGAGCGAGGGGGTAAAACTGTCCCGGGCCAGCTGGAGAAGGGAGGACAAAGGGTTTTCCCCAGAGCGTGGGGCGGGGGTGGCCTGTCGCCCTTTCCCCCTCTGCCCTGAGTGATGGATGCCCAAAGCCCACCCAGGGGCTGGCGGGAATTGGGGCGCTTTGCTGCGGTGCTGCTGTGCCTGTGCCGGGTGCCCGTTTCTGCCTGTTTCTCTAGGGCTCGGCTCGGGGTTCCCCTGGCTGTGAGAAGAAGGCGTGCTGCTGGCCCGGCTCAGGCAGCTCCAGGTAAGCTGGTTACTTTGCAGAGATGTATTATAGTAAGGTTTAAATGTGCCTCTAGACATTACAGCACACCTGAGCAGGAGAAACCCAGGGAGAGGTAACGCAGCTGCTTGTGGGCTCACCGGACAAAGTGAAGCAAGTTGGGGAAGCGTTTCTCCTCCACAGGCTCCACTCCCCACAGCACGGTGTGCACTGCTCAGAACAAATCCTGAAGTGTTCAAGACCTGGATGTGAGCAGCAGCGTCAGACAGAATGTGAACCGAGGGTGAAGCAATCCTTCAGTGGGGGGGTGAGGAGAGACGCTGCGACCGTGGTGAACAGTGTTGCTGCTCAGCTTTAGTGTTGTTCCCTTTTGTTTTTCCAAGTCATGTGAGTTTGTTTTATGGCATGAAGTACTTTGCTGTAGGGTGCTCGATTGCCTCTGACACTTCTGTAATGCTCCATTTTTTTTTTTCTTTGAACGTGCAGGTGTACAACTGTGGTGTTCCTGCCCAGACAGCACCCTGCTTGGTGAGTGTAATGGATGGATTTAATTTCCATCTCCTACAGTTCTTTGGGGACATGCTGAGATTTTTATTTCTTCCTCTCCTATTTTTACTGAAGACAGAAAATTTTGTGCCTCCATAAAGGAGAGTGGGAGTGGGCAGCTAGCGACACAGGACAGGCACACCATCAGTCAGGCAGCCAGGCATAAAACATTGCTCAGTTTTGGTATCTCTGCTTCTCAATGTAAAAATAAGACTGTACATGTAAAACACAGCAGCTGCTCACAGGAGAGGCCTCCTGCGTGCTGGCACTGTCACTCCAGCTCCCATCTGTGGGGTCACAAAGCACCAGCACCTGGGATCTTTGTGTAACATCCTCACTGGGAGATGATGCGTTAAGGGTGGATCTGGGTGGAAATGCTGGTGCAGAGTAGAATGGGATGAGTCAGGTCTGATCTCTGTCACACTGCTGGGTCCATCCCCATGCTGGCTCAGTTTGTGCTGAGCAGCCAGCCCTCTGCTCACCCACAGTCTAGTTTTTGTCTCTTTTTTTAGAAGGGGTTCTGTGGAGACAGAGCTGTCCAGAGCAGCTCAAGCATCACCCAGCAGCATTCAGGTGAGGGGGAAATGAGAATTGATGCAGATCAGGTAAGTGTAAGTCAGCCCTCCCACATCCTTCAGGGCATCTCCAGTCATCCTTCTCCAGGGATAAAAGCAGTGAACGATTGAGCAGTGGAGGGTATGTGATCAAAACTGCCTGTTTACCAAAGGGATATGCTGAGCATTGCACTGACATAGGCTGAATGACACTAATGTGCTCCTGTAGAGCCCCTGGGGACACAAGGACATTTTGAAAATCACGGATGAGAAAGCTAGGCCAGGACAGCATGGCTTTCGACTCATCAGGCTGGGCTGGCAGCCTTTGAGTGGAGCTGTGCCACATGTTTCTCATCCCTTGCTTCATCCTGCCCGTATGTCAGTTAATGGCCCTGTCCTGCCTCCATCCTCAGGGACTAATTGCCTCATACTTGAGCAAATGTGCTTGGTGTTTAAAAGGAGTCTATCGGATTTGTGCTTATTCCTGAAAGCCTCACAGGGCCCTGTTTCCTTTGAAGTGTAAAAGCATCTGTCTGCCTCTGCTTCTCCAGCAGTC